CCCCGAATACAACGTACGGTCATTATAGCTGTATCTGTCTCTTATACACATCTAGATGTGTATAAGAGACAGGAGAGAGAGAGAGAGAGGATAGGCGGACGCTTATGCATCATGCCCAACCGTCGTGCGGATGTGCATGGGTCGGAGGGCAGGAACAATGAAAAGCGAAGCACGCGGCATGTCATCAATACGCCAGACATATACGTCGCGTTAGTGAGCTGACTTTTTTTTGCCTTCTTTTTTTTTTTTTTTTTTGTGAACTGACCTTTTTTCCTTCTCTTTTCATCTTTCTTTTCTTCGTGTTATCTTTTGTTTTTCTTTCTTTTTCGTTTATTTTCTTTTATTATTATTTCTTTCTTGTGGGTATGTATATGTGATTCACTGTAGGGAGAAGCGATGGACACGATTCCTGCATTTGTTGAAGAGTGCCACGCGTCGCTTTTGGTTATGGATTTCTCTCCGCTTCGGATAGGGAGGAAATGGCGGGATACTATTTGCGAGAAGGTGATTTTCTTTTTCAAAATTATAAACTCTTTTCTTTGGTTATGGTAGAATATATTCTTTCTGTTTCTCCTTTCTATCTTTCTTCTTTGCTTTGCTCTTCCCCATTGTTGGAGTATTTCGTTTTACGGACCTCCTCCTGTATGGTTCCGTTTTTTCAAGTATGGTTGTGGGTAGAATTGTTGGTGTTGTTGGCACCTTTGTCTGCATCCCGGTTGGCTTTGTCTCGTTGTTCGGTCCACGTGGCGGTCCACGTGGCGGTCCATGTGGCGGTGATTTGTCATCCGGGCCTCTGTTGGCATCCTAGTTGGCTGGTTCCGTTGTTCGGCCTACCACGGGGGGGGGGGGGTGTATAAGTGGGAATCGTCATCTGGGAGTGTCTTTATATTTTTTTTGCGGTTGGCGGTGTCCAAGTATTTCAGTGGACATTGGAATAGCAACTTCAAGTCCTTCGGGACATCCGTTAAAATTGGAACGATACAGAGAAGATTAGCATGAAAAAAAAAAAAGAAAAAAAAAAGAAGGGAATAGCAACTTCTTGATGACAAACAAGGCCATCTGCTGTGTATAGATATGTAATCTGGGATTTCGCTTTTTGCAGACAAGAGTGTTTTGTCCTGGGTGGTCTTGTGCCGTCGTTTGGCCTGTGGAGGGGCGGTGTTTGCATGTGGGACTTGTCATCTAGGACCCGGTTTGTGCTGTTGCTTATTGGCCCCTGTTTTGTTGTATTTGGCTGTTGCCTTCCTTTTCTTTGCCTCTTTGCCCTTTGGCTGTGTGCAAGTGGGTCGATATGACACACGGGGGTGGGGGCAGCCGCCGCTCAACCTAAATCCACGTGGGCAGCCTTGTACGCAAGAGGTTCTGAACAGGGGGAGTTATAAGGAAGAAGAAAGAAAAATGAATTCATTCTTTTCTTTCTTTCTTTCTTTTTTCCTTTTTTTCGCTTTTGCGCTCTGATATTCTTGGGACAATATATGCCCACCTCAGGGTATCAGTTGTCGGGCAGTCGTTGATGCTTAACCACAGCGGGGGTTAAGGTGGATTATCACTTACAGTGTAATCAGTTAGGGGATTCTGCAAACTGTTGAGAGTTCAGCCTCCTGATGAGTCGGTGAATCTCCGACGAAACAGTTTGCCACAGCCCCTCGTTTGTTGTCCTCTTCTCCCTCTCTGCCTACGGTTTACCGGGCAGCTCTGTTTGACTATATATATATATATATATATTTGACGATATATATATATATATATCGTCACAAACAGAACTGCCCGGTAAACCGTAGGCAGAGAGAGAGAAGAGGACAACAAACGAGGGGCTGTGACAATATATATATATAAAACAAAACTGCCCGGTAAACCGTAGGCAGAGAGGGAGAAGAGGACAACAAACGAGGGGCTGTGATATATATATATTTGTTCCCTCGTATTTATTATGGGTTGTTGATATATTTGTTCCCTCGTATTTATTATGGGTCGTTGATATTTTTGCAAGAAGGTGATTCAACCCCCTCCTCCCCTCCATCCCCCCTCCTCCCCCTATATATATATATATATATTTCTTTTTGGAAGGGTTTAGGGTTTTGGGTTTTGCGGTTAGTCCATTTTCCGCACCTCCACACATGCGAACATCAAGGACACGTGGCAAGCAAGCAAGCAAGTGCACGCAGGCCACGACCAATCCCACTCACACAGCAGCTGACAAGCAATAGAGAACAAGCCAACTGCCAATTAATGTGAAAACTCGAAGAAGTAAAGAAAGTAATAACCCTTCACATGGCACCGAGGGTCACTCGTCGCCACAACCTGGCTATGCTTCACCATAGCCTGGCTATGGCTATGGCTTTGGCTATGGCCAACTGCTTTGGCTATGGCTTCCCCCTCCTACCACCACAACAAAGGAAGGATAAGCATGGGCGAGTGAGTGCGGGCAATCCCCAACTGGTTTTGGCCGGTTCAGACCCGGCCTCCATAGGGGGGAACCTCCTTCGAGGTTGCAGTCTTCCACCTACGTGGTCGCTTCACATTTTCAATCTGTTCATTGGATTGTGCGATCCAATGGCCACTCTCTCTCTCTCTCTCTCTCTCTCTCTCTCTCTCTCTCTCTCTCTCTCTCTCTCTCNCTCTCTCTCTCTCTCTCTCTCTCTCTCTCTCTCTCTCTCTCTCTCTCTCTCTCTCTCTCTCTCTCTCTCTCTCTCTCTCTCTCTCTCCCCTTTCTCTCTTTTTTCTCACTACTACTGCTACTGCGAACAGCGCCCAGGTCTTGTGATCACTCTCTGAAAGTCCTCGCTGCTCTTCCTCTCTCTCTCGCGCTACTACACAAGCTCACAGCTATGGCGACCAGTGCCGCCGTCGACTACTTCTGTGGTCCGACACTGTTCAGGATCCAAGATCTTGGCGCCCAAGCAAAGCAGCAGCGCTTCCGCAACTGACAGAATCGAAGAAGAGGAGATTCCTGACATTGGCCTCCCTTTTGTGCTTGTGCCTCTGCCTCCCTCGTGATTCCGGATTCTCCCTGCCAAGCACTGCAGCATACGACTGAGATTTGGTTTGTCGTGGCCTTTCCCTGGGACTGAGCTGCAATGGAAACCGGGAATGAACACGTGGCGACGTCCTAGCTGCTGCCTTCCAGGGCCTTGGGACTGGGCTGTAATTGAACAGGAAGTGGACACATGGCGACGTCCTACCTACTGACCTTCATGGCCTTATACTATTCCCACCGGTCTTATCCTACCTCCTTCCCCCGAATACAACGTACGGTCATTATAGCTGTATTTGGGGTATCTTTCAGTCTAAATACAGCTATAATGACCGTACGTTGTATTCGGGGGAAGAAGGTAGTAGATTCTCTATTTCCGTCCACACAGTGCCTACCCGAAGTCGATCTCTATTTCCGTCCGTACAGTACCTAACGGAAGTAGATCTCTATTTCCGTCCGTACAGTACCTACCGGAAGGTTCTCGGAAATGGGGCACAGTACAGGGGCCGTACTGCGGCAGTGTGTGAATCATTTCAGATGAAGTAAAACTAAAAAAGTAATTGACTTTCCACAAGTGAAAAATAATTGGATGCAATAGAATTTAAATTTTAAAATTTTAACAGAATTCTCATGTTTTCCCCAAATGAAAAATGACTCATTGTAAGCCAAAAACTTACTTCAAAGTTCAAAACGATTATTGGTTTTCGTTTTTTGAAATTTTTGTTTCTTTTTACTCGTGGAATTGCATGCCTGTCATGATTCTCATTCCTTCTGTTTGATTCACAATTCCCTGTTCTGTGCAGCTGTGCTATGAGGTTTTACTCTGTGGGACTGGGCTGTGGGACTGTGTACTGTGGGACTGCTGTATTGTGGGACTGTGCCGCGGGAATGTTCTGTGGGACTGTGCTGTGGGACTGTGCTGCGGGAATGTGCTGCGGGAATGTTTTGTGGGACTGTGCTGTGGGACTATGCTGTGCGGCTGCTCTGTGTAACAGTGCTATGTGGGTTTTTTCTCTTTGGGACTGTTCTGTGTGAGACTGTGCTGTGTGGCTGTGCTGTAGGACTGTGCTATAGGACTATGCTGTGCGGCTGCTCTGCGCAACTGTGCTCTGTGGGTTTTTTCTCTTTGGGACTGTTCTGTGTTGGACTGTGCGGTGTGGCTGTGCTGTTGAACTGTGTGCTCTGTGAGATTGTCCTCTATGGGACTGTGCTCTGTGGGGTTTCTTTCTTTGGGAATGTTCTGTGTTGGACTGTGCTGTGTGGGTGTGCTGTTGATGAACTGTGTGCTCTGTGAGATTGTCCTCTGTGGGACTGTGCTCTTTGCGGGACTGTGCTATCTGAGACTGTCCTTTCTGGGAGTTTCCTGTGGGCCTATGGTACTATGGAACCCCTTGTGCTTCTGACAACAGGTGTCTATTCCTGTGCACGAAGTGGACGCCCACAATGTGGTCCCTGTGTGGGTGGCCTCAGAGAAGCTGGAGTACGGTGCCCGCACCATCCGCACGAAGATACACAAGAACCTTCCAGAGTTTCTGGTGCCATTTCCTGCTCTTCCAGATGCGCCGCGGCCGTGGTCTTCTCCCGACAAAGGCGGCAAGCTCAAGCTGCCGCAGGTTCGCCCGATAGATTGGGACAAATTGATCGAACAGGCGCTCAGAATTGGTGCCGATGTGCCGGAGGTGGACTGGTGCCTGCCGGGGGAAGATAACGCAATCGAATGGCTGATGGGAGAGAAATCGGGGTTTGTCACGAAACGGCTCGCAAAGTACGATTCCATGAGGAATGACCCCTCCAAGCATGGGGCGTTATCGGGGATTTCGCCGTGGTTACATTTCGGCCAAATTTCCGCTCAGCGATGCGCATTAGAAGCGAAGAAAGCTCGCAAACAATACCCTCAGGTGAGTCTTTTTTTTTTTTTTTTCCGAATCTTTCGTGAATTTGCCCCCTTCTTCTCCTTTACCCAGGGGAGGTTTCTTAACCCCTTTTTCTCTTCTTCTCCTCGATCTAGGTGAGGTTTTTTCGTTTCTTGTCCTTTGACAGAGGTGAGTCGTTTTTTCTTTTCTTCTCCTTCATCTAGGGGAGTTTTTTGAACTTCCCCCCCTTCCTCTCTTCTTTCTTCTCTTGTCTTTGCCGCAACAGACAGTCTCAGATCGAGAAGTGATGAATCATGAATCTGATGACTACCGTCGTCCCGAATATAACGCCGGATGATTATCACTGGATCTAGACTGAAAGTTGCACCAAGTACAGCTATGATGACTGGGCGTTCTATTCGGGTGAAGACGGTAATATTCACTTTCTCTGCTGGGACTGTCTGCTGCATCAAAGTAAGGAGACCAGAACTGGTCTTCAATTTGGGGGAAAACGTGGAAAAGTAAAACAAAAAAAAAAAATCACCCTCTTCCACCATAATGATCACAGTTTTTCTAAATCCTCCCTCAATATCAAACAGCATTTCTAATGGAGTTGAGGGAGGGTGACCGTTATGATTGTGACGCAAATTGCCAGGGTCAATGAATAGACGGGGTAGCAGGAGAAAATGAGGTTGGTTACTTTGAAAAGGCTGACACATGTAAGTTGATGTAACTGGTCTGAAAGATGTAATGAGTTCAAAGTCCAGAGTTCAACCCCCCCCCCCCCAATGTAATCAGAGGGTGCAATAATATTAGGGGCTTAGCGCTTTTGTTTAAAATAATCTCTCTTGTAACTTGTTTAAAAAACGACCCAAAGAAAGAAGCTGATTGGGGTCACTTTTGCCTGTCGTGGTGGTGTGAATCTTGCCAATGGTTGAGCACCAACTCTGTGTGTGTGTGTGTGTGTGTGTGTGTGTGTGTGTGTGTGTGTGTGTGTGTGTGTGTGTGTGTGAGTGTGTGTTTGTGTGTGTTTGTTTGTTTGTTTGTTTGTTTGTTTGTGTGTGTGTGTGTGTTCTTGGTGAGCAGGCAGTGGATGCATTCCTCGAAGAGCTGATTGTACGGCGAGAGTTGGCTGACAATTATTGCTACTATCAGCCCAAATATGACTCTCTGGCTGGAGCATGGGACTGGGCACGGTACTCTCTGCAGCAACATGCAGCAGACAAGCGAGAGTACATCTACACGTCAGTTAGTTGTCTCATGGCCACCACCCATTCACTTTTATGTCTTTCTTCCCACTTCCTTTATCCCTCGTCCGTTGTCTTTGTCCCTTGTACTACCGTCTTCCCGGAACACAGTGCACACTTCACACTGCACACTGATAATGAACGTATACAAGCGTCCTTTCTGCTCCCGTGCAGCCATAATGAGGGCGTCCAGGGGAAGACAGTAGCATCTTATCTCCAGATTCGCCGTGTGTCTCCCTATTGAAAAAAACCTCCTTCTCTATGCCATATGGTATGTTGGGCCAACTTGGGTGACATGGGCGACATGGGAGAGGGGAGGCAGATGACTGGCTGTGTGAAAACAAAAACTTAAAGTGCCACAAGAAACATGCCACATTTATGTGCATCCACATGTGTGGAAGAGGATCCCCCACCCTTTAAGATGGTATTGATACCCTTCGATATGGTACTTATATGGTATATTCGCTTGTGGTATCTCCAATTATTCTGTGAGTGTATTTCATCTGATGAACCATGCTCTTTTTAAAAAGCATTACCTTGTTTCAAGTTTTTGAGTGCAGGTTCTGTGATTCATGCAATGTCTGATGAACAAGATGTGTGCAAAATGGGTGGATTAGCTTCGCAACACGGAGGTCCTATAGTAGCTGGGTAGGGGAACCAACCCTTTTTTTCACAGGCAGCGAAGTGGGTCAGTCAGATTCCGCAGACGAACAAGAGCCTTCCTGCTCCGGATAAGATCCGCGGAGGTCTTTCTTCTTCGTTGAGAGAACGCAACTCTCCGGCAGATATACGGCGGATCAGATCTAATAGCTCTTCTTGCAGATCCTAAATTCTTTAATATATTGCTACGAGACTATCAAGAGTAAGTCTGGATAGTAATTTTATACCCTTCGATATGGTATTTACTATTTATAGTAATTTTATGCCCTTCGATATGGTTGCAAGGAGTACGAGTGTGAACAATATACAGAAAACCAAGTTGTGAAATCACACAGATGTCCAAGTAGTCGTGTACAAGCAGAGAGCACAATTGCACTGAGAATCCATCCAAATAACGCAATACAACGAAGTAATGAGCCAATGTTCAAGCCCTCGGGCCACACCAACACAGTATCCGAAGTCGCTCCTCCCTGTCTGGCGCCCAGCGCCCAGCCTACTACTCGACTATCCTGCCTACAGCTGTGTTCACGCAACAGCCTCACTTCGACTCTCAAAGACCAATGTACATGATGTCAACACCGTAGCCGACCTCTCTTCATGCACCAGGTACGTATATCGTCACCGTCATCAGACCTTGATAACCCGCACACTCGCCTCCTTCCCTGAAGACCACCAGATCGCCCTCTTGCCCCGTAGTGCCCAGCAGCCCGGCTATGGCTGCCAGCGCACCGCTGCCCTGCAGCGCCCCACTACACCTCAACGCGTCCCGCAAGCGCACTGGCCGCAGCGCAGCAGCGTGACCGCATTGCCTGTGTGGGCCAGAATGCCCTCCTGGGCTGCCTCACTTCCTATATGGAAGTGGCAGCCTCCTGGATGCTGCGTGTGGCCTGGCTGGAAGCTTCCAGTAGCTCCCTGTTGGGCCCCAGTACCTGCGCCCAGGCCCGAGACTACAGTTGAGGGCCTGGGCCCTTTACAGTTGGGCACGGCCTCAGTCTCCGGACTTGGGCCGGTTGCTGCACTTGCACAGGTCCCCGAGGTAGGTGCGTCGACAGTACTGCTTTTGCATATGCCTGTGGCCACTTCAAGATGTATCGGCCCTGTTTTGTGTGTATGTGCCCAGGCGCAACTGCCAAGGCCTGGGCCAACTGTACGACGCAGCTTAGTGAGGCTCACACGTCCATTCAACCAACTGGTGGGCTGCAACAGCCTGAATACCCATATATGAAAATGTCGAGTTTTGGCCTCTGATGAGTATTCAGGCCCGCCTTCACTTAGGGCGGGCACTCGGCTGGCTGGGGGCCTCTGCCCAGAATATTTGTATGTCTGATAGGGACCCGGTGAAGGCTCGTTCCTCGCATGGTATTTATAGTTTTATAGTAATTTTTATGCCCTTCAAGGCGGTATTTAGAGTAATTTTATGCCCTTCATGATGGTATTTATATACCCTTCAAGAAGGTGGTATTCCAAGATGGTATTTATACCCGTCAAGAAGGTTCCCCTACCCTTCAAGAGGGTCTTGTTTTTACCCTTCAAAAGGGTATATTATTTATAGTAATTTTATACCCTTCGAGAGGGTGTTATTCCCAGTACGTCTCCCGCCGTTTCGAGGACCAGGCAAGGATGCCACTTGTCAGATGCTTATATCATCTTGTAGTTCATTCATTGAGTTGGTTATGCCCGCCGTCCTGGTGGTTGAGTGAGGGGTGCACTCAGTGGGTGATGACATGTGTCTCCTCAGCTTGCTGCCTTTCTGCATCTGAATTTTTCCTTCAACTGAGTCTTAACCACCACTGAGTTTTTTTCTGTCCTTTTTTTTTTTTTTTTTAAGAAAAAAAAATTGGACCATTTCTCAACTTATGCGTGTCATACTTTCAAAGGGACATGCGGATCTTCCTCTGCGTCGTTCCAATTTTCACGGATGTCCCCCGAAGGACCCGCCGAGTTTTATCTGTAGACTCTGTGCGGTGTGTGGGGTCTTATCAACAACTGAGACTTGTCCACTCAGTTTTCTCTGGTCTGATTCAGCACAGAGTGTTGTCCACCGACCCACGTCCGTTTTCACCCGAATAGAACGCCCTGTTGTTGTCACTGTATCCAGACTAAAAGTTGGCCCAAATACAGGTACGATGACCGGGCGGCAGGTGTTTTTTTTTCGGGTGAAAAAGACGGTAGCATTTTCGTCTTCGCGGTCCCTTGGGTTAAAATTTCATAATACCAATGGGCCTAGCTCAGTTGGTACACCCGAATAGAACTGTTGAAATATGAATCAGACCCAAGTTCGAATCCAGGTACACTATCAGATGACCAGAAGAAGACGAGTCTGAATTACATGGGGCCGGTCAGTTCAATGAATATCTCAATCTTCTGGTCATCTGATTGCATCTGGATTCGAACTTGGATCTGATTCATATTTCAACAGTTCTATTCGGGTGTAGGCCGTCGTCTTAAAAAGGAAAGTTAGGAATCGTCGTAATACAGTGCATGTCGAATTTGTTCGTGTGGACTTTTTCGTTGGAAAGGCTGACACATGTAAGTTGATGTACCTGGTCTGAAAGTTGTAATGAGTTCAAAGTCTAATCATGTGTGTTACTCACCCACTGAGTGCAGCAACTGAGTCTTATCCAGCAAGATCCATGAACATTCAGAGAAAGTTCAGAGAAGGTTAGACAATAATACCCATCAACATCCAGAGACCATTTAATGATATCCAGACAGCATCCACCGATTCCGCACAATATCTTCTTCTTCTTCTTCCCTTTTTTTTTTTTTTTTTTTTTTTTCCGGAAAGGGCGACGGCCTTGCGATATCATCGTATTGAACTGACTGGCCCCAGGTAATCCAGAATTATGTTATTCTGGTCATCTGATTGTATCTGGATTCGAACTTGGGTCTGATTCATATTTCAACAGTTCGTCGGTGCACCAACTGATCGAGGTCTCATTCGTATTCCACACAATATCCAAACATAATCCAAATGCATTTGGACAACATCTGATGAATGGTGCAGTAATTAACACGTTGTGCATGGAACCGAGAGAGAGAAAAGAGTCAACAGCACCGTCGGAGGAGCTGATTGGTTGTTGGCAGCGTGCTGAAGCCTGAAAGATGTTTCTTTTTTTCTTTTTCTTTTTATTTTTATTTTAATTTGGGCCATTTCTCGATTTATGCGTGTCATCCTTGCGCAGGGGCCATGCTTATCTTCTCTGTATCGTTCCAATTTTAACGGATGTCCCGAAGGACTGATGTTTCATAATTTTAAAATTGTAAATTTCAGAGAATTTTGAATTTTATGTTTTTGACATTGTTTTGTATAATAATTTGTTTGAACTTTGGATGCCGACACCGTTGGCTTCTGTTGTTTCATTGTTTGTCAGTTACGATGGTGAGGAAAAGCATTCACTGAATTTTCCTTGAATTTCATTGAGTTTTCATTGAGTTTTCATTGAGTTTTCATTGAGTTTTCATTGAGTTTTCATTGAGTTTTCAACTTTTCATTGAAATTTCACTGAGTTTCACTGAAGTTTCACTGAACTTTCCTTCAAAATTCAAATAGCAAAGAAGATACAAATGAAAACATGTCTCGGATATACACAGCGAACAAAATGCTGTCAATTTGCCGATTTGGACACACACACACACACACACACACACACACACACACACACACACACACACACACACACCACCACCACCACCACCACCACCAAAAAAAAAAAAAAAAAAAAAAAAAAAAAAAAAAAAAAAGACATCACTTGTAGCTTGGTGAGGATAAGAACTGACCCCATCACACTTTTCTATTCGTCCTTTTTGGGGATGTCTATGTGCATGCAGCAAGGAGCAATTTGAAAAGGGAAAGACGCATGATCCGGTCAGTTCTCAACCCACTCTGATTTATACCGCTCGAACCTAGAGCAGGAATGTGTCTACATCCATCTTTTTTTGCAGTCATCTGGACATCTCGTAGCCCTCTTCTGGAACCTTCCACTCACACACCATCAGGTTGAGTTAGAAAGTGCTCGGCGTGGAAAATAGGCACCAAGTCAGCCCCAATTCAGACCCAATTCAGACCCAATTCAGCGCCATGTCAGCAGCCAATTATGAGACTGCCACTGATTGGTGTAACATTTCTCTAAGTATTGTACATGCCTTACACAGGCTTACAGAAAGAAAAAAAAGAAAGTGTAGAACGGCTATATTGCTGTAGGGCATGTATTGGGCCCGACTTCGTGCCAATTATAGAGCGACTATATTGCTGTATGGCATGTATTGGTACCAGCTTGATGCCAATTTTTATAGAACAACTGAATATATTTTGCTGTAGGGGGCATGTACTGGGACCGACTCGGTGCCAATTATAGAACGACTATATTGCTATAGGGCACTAAAGTGTAGAACGGCTGTAGGGCACTGAAGTGTGGAATCACCTGGAATTATAGACCGACTATATTGCTCACCAAGCACTTGTAACACGAAAGCCGCGGTTATATTGCTCACCAAACACTCGTGACACGAAAGCCGACACGAAAGCCGTCCGAATGCATATGCATGCTGAGTATTAATCACTAAGTAGTAATTACCAATCACTGTAATCAGTAAATAATTTTTATATTTGGACGGTGGTTTATCGATTTATGTGCGTCATCCTCGCGCAGGGGCCATGCTAATCTTCTCTGTATCGTTCCACTTTTAATTGATTTTGAGTGATTTATAATTTTATATATTTAGAAGTTATATATAATCAATTCTTTATATTCATTATATCTTATTAGATTACTAAATTATTTATTAGATTATTATATTCTGTTATACTAACTGGGCCAAAAGAAAACAGAAAAGGGCTAGCCAATTATGTGAGTGAACTATTTATAGATCTCTATACATGTCTACAGAGCATCAGAAAAGTTGAAAAACTTGCCAAGCTAGGAATGGAAGGCATCTCAATTCAAGTCTGATGCTCATCTGTAGTTTGATGCCTACAGAGAATGGTGCATTCTCTGTAGGCATCACAAGTAGCGTACCAATCTCAGTTCAGGAGAATGATCCATCTCAATTCAGGTTTGATGGTCATCAGCTATATATGTAGCTTACCAATCACCAACTACAGATGACCATCAAACTACTCACCAGCGGTGATCGAGCACATACAAATGGTTACAGCGACTGTAGTTTCGACAACGACGACAGCTATATATAGCTACTTGCAATAGCTACAGTAAATAAAGTATGCTCCAGCTACCTACATAATATGGCAACGTATGAATGAACCAGGGTACAATGTCAACCAGCAACTATAAATCTCTCTCTCTCTCTCTCTCTCTCTCTCTCTCTCTCTCTCTCTCTCTCTCTCTCTCTCTCTCTCT